CTCAACTCTCATCAACTCTCATGCAAACTCTCGCTTCTCAACTCTCATCAACTCTCATGCAAACTCTCTCTTCTCAACTCTCATCAACTCTCATGCAATCTCTCGCTTCTCAACTCTCATCAACTCTCATGTAAACTCTCGTTCTCAACTCTCATCATTACAACTCTCATTGTCGTTTGAGCAGGGTTTAACTGAGCCTCGGTGAAACGACGATAAGATAATTGTTGCAGGGGATATTTCAAGCTTTAAATGAACAAAATAAAGCTTTCGTGAGTGTTCCAACTATGTTTAAATAGAATACATGATATAGTGTTGGGAGCCTCAGGTTAATTGCGCAACCACAGCTTGTACAATCAACATTAAATAAATCATCATTATTATTATAATTTTAATTATCACAAACCTCAATGCCTTCCCTCATATATTCCTCTTGTTCAGATTTCAATGTCAGCTCAATGAACAGTTGCTGGAGTTTCTCGTTGCAATAGTTGATGCAAAATTGTTCAAAACTACAGAAAAAAAATTGTTAACCGTTAAAACTAGGTCACAAGCTTCTTATCACAGTTCGTTTGTGAAACACTTCGATAGCGCAAAACAAAAACCAAAATCATATAATAATAATGACTACAAACGTAAAAGTGTCACAACTTGTCAACAAGATGTGTTCGTAACAGGCTTGTAGCAAGCTTGTCAACAAGTTGTAACAATGCTGTTATTTTATCAAGTTGCTACAAGGTTGTCATGCACAACTTGTTGATAAGTTGTTGAAGAGTTGTTGAATTGCAGGACGATAACAAGTTGCTGGAAGAATTTGTTACAAGTTGTTTCACTCAACACCCTTGTGGCTCATGATTTTTTTTTCTGTGTTGGAGTAATGTACTCAGGTGAATATGATGCTTGTGATGTTACTCTGAGTGTATATCCACACCGGGCAAGCTTGAAAAATATGCCTGACCACGGTGGAATTCGAACCTACGACCTTTGATATACTAGCCCAATGCTCTGCCAACTGAGCTACGCGGTCTGATCGGTTCGATATGTGAAAAAGGTCGTAGGTTCGAACCCTTGTGGCTAGTTCTCAACAAGCTGGGAACAAGCAGTGAGAACATATCCTGTTGAGAAGTTCTTAGAACAGCACTGCTACAAGTCTGTTTCATCTTTGTTACAACTTGTGCGTTTTTACGTGCATGTGTAGCCAATAACCCATTCCCTATAGCTGGCTTTCCGCCTCGTGGTACATTTAGTGCTTGGTAGTCAACTCCAAAAAGAAACACAGTTACAAGAGCGAGTCAATTTTTCATTATATGTGTAATAATTGACTTTGTCTGTGGTAAATGCATGCAATTTGGCCACATTTGCTTGCTTCCACAAAACATAAAGCATCAATACGCGTAAAACTGACCACCAAGCGTTTCCCTATGTATTAGGCTTAGTGAAACCCACCTATAGACAGGTAAAAAAGCACAAGTTGTTAGAGACCTGCAAACAAGTTGTAAAAAGGTTGTTGTTAAGCCAATATCTGGAACAAGTTGTTATCACCTTGTTACAAGGTTGATTACGGTGACAGACTTGTTATGCTTTGTTCCAACAAGACTACACGCGTGAAAACGTAACAGTTCTACAAACAAGTTGTTACAAATCTGTTCACAAGCTGTCGACAAGTTGTGTTCGCACTGCTTGTTCCCAGTTGTTGTAACAAGTTTGGAACAAGCTGCTAACAACTTACAACAAACTTAATGGCATTATAACTTAATGTTCTAACAAAACTGATACAGTTATGATATAACAAGAATGTTACAAGGTTGACGACACAAGGTTGTAACAATATTGTTATATCATAACTGTATTGGACTTGTTGGAACAACCTTGCAACAAGACTGATAATATCAACAAAGTTGTTACAAGTTGTTAGCAGCTTGTTCCAAAATTGTTGACAACTTGGGACAAGCAGTGCGAAGACAACTTGTCGACGGCTTGTTGACACAAACTTGTTACAAGATGTGATATTTTTGTGTGTGTATAGTGCAAGCTGTTTGTAACAAGTTGCTACGAGCTTGTTGCCATCAACTTCCTTACAACTTCTCACGTCCACACTACATCAGACATGTTGGAACAACTTGTTGCGAGTTTGTTGGCCTCATCAAGCTTGTTACAGTTGGTAAACAGCTCGTTCCAAACTTGTTACAACAACTGGGAACAAGCAGTGCGAACACAACATGTCGACAGCTTGTGAACACATTTGTAACAACTTGTTTGCAGACCTGTAACAACTTGTGCGTCTTTACGCGTGTATCGTCTGCACGTCACAAGTTGTTAACAAGTTGGTGGCAATAAGCTCGTAGCAACTTGTTACGAACAGCCTGTACTAGTTTTGTTGGAACAAATTGTAACAAGTCTGTCACCGTCATGAACCTTGTAACAAGGTAATAACAACTTGTTCCAGACTTGTCACAACAACTGGGAACAAGCAGTGCGAACACATCCTGATATCGGCTTCACAACAACCTTGTTACAGCTTGTTTGCAGATCTATAACAACTGGCAGTTTTTACGTGTGTACACAAGCTGTAAGTTCTTTCAACGTTTTCTCTTAGATTTAATTTAATATATAGTTTAATTCAGTGGCGAAGCTAGTCATAGCAACAAGTCATGCTATGCACATTTTTAATGATTTGCATGATTCAAACTTTAGAAATATATTGTCTTTAACCTAATTAGGTATACGTAAAAACGCACAAGTTGTTACAGGTCTGCAAACAAGTTGTCACAATTCTGTTCACAAGCTGTCGACAAGTTGTGTTCGCACTGCTTGTTCCCAGTTGTTGCAACAAGTTTGGAACAAGCTGTTAACAACTTGTAACAAGCTTGATGACATTATCTGACTTGTAGCGAAGTTGTTCTAACAAGTCTGATACAGTCATGATATAAAAAGAATGTTACACGGTTGACAACACAAGTTTGTAACAATATTGTTATATCATGACTGTGTCGGACTTGTTGGAATAACCTTGCAACAAGTACGATAATGTCAACAAGACTGTTACTACAAGTTGTCAACGGCTTGTTCCAAACTTGCTGACGACAAGATGAGACATGTGTCCAGGTAGTACCAAAGATTAGGTACTATAAAGACACAGTATAGGGAGACAACCAGTAGGGCCACTTAGGGGAGAGAAAAGTGGGAATTATTTAAGCTAGGTCCCAGGTGTTTTACGCGGCCAAACTCATTACTCTGTAATACAATTTTATAGTGAACTGCTGCCATTTACTGGCTGCCAATATGTAAATTAGGTTGGCAGCCAGTAAACAATGTGGACACTTTTTTACACTGAGTGGCCCTACTGTAGTTTTCATATACTGTGATAAAGATGTGCCACTCTGCGAAAATTATGTCCGAGATTTTTTTATAGCCGCCATTTTGCCAGTAAGTGTCAAATTCGTCATATAGCGCGACCTATTGTATTCAGTGATTCAGTCTCGCCGCCATTTTGGCAGTAAGTGTTATGCACTCGTCATCTCGCGTGATCACTCGTGATCAGCACGGAAAATTACGGACACGCAAACATTAGGGAAATACGTCGAGTGGCACATCTTTATCGTATCTAATCTTTGGTAGTACACACGTAAAAATCTCACAACTTGTCAACAAGATGTGTTCGCAACAGGCTTGTCAACAAGTTGTAACAATGCTGCTATTTTTGTCAAGTTGCTCACAAGGTTGTTACTCACAACTTTGTTTTGTTTTGTTTTGTTTGCTTTACAGCCAGCGATAGAGGCAAGTTGCAAACGACCTACTACTTTATTCTCAGATTTTGTGATTAACAACGTCGCGTTTATGTAACAATTATTCGTCGAAGGCGAGGTGATTATTGGGGAATATTATACCTCAAATTCAAATTGTCCAATCAGGAAGCTTAGTTTGTGCCACGTGAGCATGGAATTAATCGCGATATCACGCCTTACGTCATCAATTAGGGAGCCTGCGTTCCTTTTGACAATGTTCCACCCCATGTTCCCCGGGTTATGAAGCCTATACAGCTTTTATAGCGAAGCCTTGGCGCCTTGTTGAGCGTAAGATAGTGCGGCCACAAAAATCCTGAATCAGACATGTTTTCGCTCGTTAAAAATCACGAAGTTAAAGCTTTTGTTTGACACATATAAACAAATCCCAATACAAAGAACGGCGCAACGAATCAAAAGCCAATATTCAAAAGGAAGTCATGACCTTTTGTCACACGACTGTGAATATTTCATTTCAGATGAAATTCTTGTCTGAGACACTTTATATTGTGTGGCAACTCTCAGTCTATTACCCGTGGTGGCAATAAAACGACTTTACAAGGAAGTGATATACGTCTGTTGTTTGAAACGGTTCTTTCAGTTATAAATTGCAACGAAATACTATTGCAAATCTACGAAAACAAAGCCTGTGTATACGGATATCTTATATGGCTGTTTATGTGAGGATATTTGTGCTTGAAACTGGTTGAAGTAAGAATATAATTTGCTGTATATTTAAAGAACGGTGAGTATAAAATATGACATCAAGCTTATATTTGGACAAGATTTGTAGAGCACAGCGATCAGTAGTATTAAGCATCTAATACAGCCAGCAGACGAACTGAACTACTTATGCTTGTGGACCTTGTGATGTTACTCTAAGTGTATATCCAGACCGGGCAACCTTGAAAAATATGCCTGTCCTTTGGAATACTAGCCCAATGCTCTTGCAACTGAGCTACGCGGTCAGGTCGGTTCGAGTATGCGATATTTCGGAACAGAATCTAGTTCCTTCCATATCAATGCAATCTAGTATAATCATAATTTCAATATACCATTTTAAGTTAATACTTTCGTGCCTTGGAAATTTCCTACGATCCAGAAAATCCAAGAACATTCAAAACTATATGTACCAAGTGTAATACGGCTCAAACTCTGGTTCAGTCTCTTAAGTGCTGCTATTAGTTATATAGTTTTATTTAGATAGCTTTTATGTGGGTATGTCCTAACTCGAGCCCGCAGTAATTGGCTAACGCCGTTGCGGTCACCCTGTGTCACCCTGAGACTTAGTCTAGCCCTCATTATAGTATATCAAAATACAATGAGATTAGGGTACCTTAGGGTGTGTTAGGGTACATCAAACTACCTTAGATAAGACAAACATAGAGTACATTAGTCTACCTTAGCTTACCTTAGGGTACCTTGGCCTACCCTAGGGTATCTTGGAGTATACCACGTCTATACCTGCCTATACCTTGTAATAGTATTGTGTATTGTAATATGGCGAAACTAATAAATAAATAAATAAATAAATAAAATATTTACTTTATTTTTAATATAGCGAGTAAATATGGCATCGAATTATCCACTCGGGTACGATGACGAAAGATTCGAGTCAATAGTGAACCAAAATTTCCACTGTTTGATTTGCTACAACGTATTGAAAGACCCCGTGATGTGCCGCAGAAACGAGCATTATTTTTGCCGTGGCTGCATCACGGAACATCTTCGTAGGAATTCCCATACATGTCCAACATGCGCTGACGAGCTGAGTGTCGAAACATTGCAAGGCGTTCCAAGAATTGTGAGGAATTACTTAAACGAACTAAGTATTCGTTGCGATCATTACGACAGAGGATGTCGAAAACTCGTACGGCTCCAGAATTTAAAGCGACATGTCGCCGAATGCGGGTTTACTCCAGTCGTTTGTGGAAATCAAGGTTGTGGTGAGACAATCAGTAAAAGAGATCGTACATATCATGAGAGTGAACTGTGTCAATTTAGAAAGTTGAAGTGCCACAATTGTAGAGAAATCGGCACTACGATGGCGGGAATGAAAATGGAAATGGCGAACATCAACACGAATCAGGTGAACACGAGAAAGAAATTGGCAAACACGAACACGAACATGGCAAATATTAGAACGGAAATTGCAAATGTGAACACGAAAATGGACAATATCAACATCGAAATGGTAGGCATCAACACGAAAATGGCAAACACGGACACGAAACTCGAAAACATGAACACGAAAATGGCAAACTTGCACGCAAACGTGGAAGCGAAGTTCCAAGCTATGAATAATGAAGTGAGAAAAATAAAAATGAGTTTAAATGAAGTAAAAGATGGCTTTGATCACTTGAAAGAAGCAGTACTTGAGAAGATAGAGAGAGAGAGCAAAGATAGAAAGCAGGAGGAAATCACAAGAGATGTAAGTGGCACAGCGAGTGGCGGGAGAGAAAATCAACATATATTTGTTGCTGGTGGTTTTGGGAGAAACTCGGTAGAAATATTTAACTACCGTCAGAGATTGTGGTCTTTATTAAAGCCCATGCCAGAGAGTCGTAACAGCGCATCTTCATTTCTCTACAATAATCACGTGACTGTGGCGGGAGGTTATTGTGATGCGGCTGTAGATAACATGATCCGAATGAATATTCACCCAGTTCCTGATCTCTCACATAACTGGAGTGATTTTGCTGCCAAACTTCCTGCCAAGATGTCTGCACACAGCAGTGTGGTGTACAAGGATAGCTTGTTGGTTACTGGCGGTATTAATGAAGATCAAGATCTCTACTTTGACTGTATTCATGAAGTTCAACTTAAACCACCTTACACTGTTAAATTGGTATCCAAGATGCCTGAACCAAGAGTTCGTCACAGCATAGTACTATGTGATAGTATTTTGATCGTTGGGGGAACGAAATCCTGGGACTGCGAAGACAATCTTAGCAGTGTGTTAAGCTATGACATCAAGAAGAATGAATGTCAACAGTTACCTGCGCTTCCCTATCCAGTGAGTCAAATGGCGACAGTCAAGTGGGCTGAGAATGTCGTGATCATTGGTGGGGCTGACAAGGATGGTAAAGCATTAAACAATGTTATAATTTATAACATCAAGACTGGAAACAGTCATATGTTGCCTCCCATGTTACACAGAAGGACAGGATGTATGGCAGTTGTTATTGAGAATGCAATTGTAGTGCTAGGAGGAAGTGATGAGAGAAGGCGTATTTTGAAATCAGTTGAAGGTTTCAATTTTGAGCGATATTCATGGCAGGAACTTCCTGAAATGAAGGAAACCAGATACTGGGCCACAGCTGTCGTGATCTAGACGTGCTTGTATAGAAGATGTGGAATGTTTAAACTTTGACATTTACAACTTCAAAGTTTTAACGATTTTAACAAAGATTGAAGAACTATACGTGACTATACCAATGTCTGAGAAGCTCTCGACAAGATCAAAACTCATTGCGCAGAATTCTCTAAAACTTTGACATATATCTCAAAACATTTCGAGATTTACGAATATATGCAAGAACAGCCAGACTATAGTACTAAAGCTTTCATTATCGAGACAGGTTTAAAAATTGAATTTCTAGGTTTCAGCATTATACATGTAAAACATTTATAGTCAATCAATCCCATATAAAAACACCGATTCTTCTCTTCTAACTTATACTGTAGACTACTTTCATAATATAGATGGGTTTGCATAATTATTTTATATTCTTATATTCGAATTACATTCCGAATTAACCATTCCGAAGTTGATGAGAAGACTGGGGACGAAGTGCCCATATTAATAATTAATGAACCAAATAACTAAAAAGACCACCTCAAAATTAGTAAGTATGCAAATTTTGAAGACGTTTACATGAATAACACTAATTCGAATAATAAGCTTTCAAAAATTGTGAAATTACTGATTAAAATAATGTTTTTGGGACGCGCGTCCCAACTGACAAAAATTACAATACATTTCATAGTAAATATCGGGATTTTCGAAAGCTTATTATTCAAATGATATTCATGTAAACGTCTTCAAACTTTGTATACTTACTAATTTTGAGATGGTCTTTTTAGTGATTTGGTTCATTTCTTAATTTGAGCACTTTTTAACACTCGTCCCCAGTCCTCTCATCAACTTCGGAATGGCTAATTCGGTCACAAAAACGAGGTCGAAAAGGCTTTATATTAAAATGCACATAAACGAAATGTACATAAACGAATAAAATGAAGTATACATACGCACGCTAGCGGCTAGACTTGGACAGTAGTAGATTGTTAACATGAAGATCCCAAGAGCATGGATTATCCTGAAAAGAAGTCCCCAATAATTTTAACCAACTCTTTTGTTCAATGCCTGCAATAGGCAATTCCAGCTTTTAGTTTATGCCTGCAGGGGATGATGGGAAGTAAGGTATCATATTGCCAATTATGCTGAAACATTTCAATAAAAACTACCGAAACAACCGAAATATTTCAATATTTACAAGTATAAGTTATCACTCCGTGTTTACACGGCCACCATTTTTATTTTTTCAGCATAATCAGCAATATGATACCTTACTTCCCATCGTCCCCTGCACGCATAAACTAAAAGCTGGAATTGCCAATTGGTGTGAAGTGTTTCGTAAACCCACTCTATACAACCATTTCCCACGTTTTAGAAAGATTCAATGTCATTTGATTTGATTTGTTTCCGACCAATTCTGAATTCCTTCATCCTCAGCGGATGCAGAATCCAATCCTGATTTTGCTGGAGCAATTGCCGTTATATCATCACCAAATTTTACCAAATTTTTTAATGTCACTCACTTAATCACATCCGCCAGGATGAGAAAAATCAGCGACAAAATGATTAGTCTGAACCAGACTTAAAGGTGAATTTTATGACTAATTTCACAGACTGCAAGACGGACTTGCTCAAATTCCTCGACTCATTTCAAGTTCACCTATTGACTCGACTCGACTGAAGCCATTGACTCAACTCAACTCAACTCAACTCGAGTGAAATGACTCGAATCCACTCGCGACTCGATCAGCACTCGACACGACTACACACGTAAAAATCTCACAACTTGTCAACCAGATATGTTGGCAAGCTTGTCAACAAGTTGTAACAACGCCGTTATTTCATCAAGTTGCTACAAGGTTATCACTCACAACCTTCTGACAAATTGTTGAATTGTAGGACTATAACAAGTTGTTGGAACAACTCGTAACAAGTCTGCTGAGCTCAGCAACCTTGTAGCAAGTTGTGAAAAAGTTGGGTCCGGGAACAAGCAGTGCGAACACATCCTGTTGACAAGTTGTTGGAACAGCATTGCTACACAAGTCTGCTGCAGGTTTGTTACAACGTGTGCGTTTTACTGGACTTTTGAGTGACTTCACCTGCGCGTGACTCAATTAATACAACACTGCAACACTGCCCTAACATATATTCAAAATTCACTTTTGTCTACAGAGCAAGCGGGTGAAATTTTCTCACGGGCTGTCTCGCTAAGCAGGCCGCGCCAGCCCGGTGTCCATATATAATCACGAATTGGCATATATATCAATGAATTGCAATGGATATGTTCGTAAGATATCAATGGTTACATACAAATGATCACGATTTGAAATTGGGAAAATTTTCAATGAGCCAATAAAGCACCCTATAGTGTGATTGACTTTTAAAATTCCTGATAGAACTTTCCAGCTCTAACAAAGAATCGTTAAACGCTCGACCTCTGCCGTCAATTTCCGAAGTGGACATCCTCACAACATCGCATCCTTGTGACGCAGTTCGGCAACGCCGCTAACGCGACGCGAATTTTTAGTTTTCGAAAACAAATAAAACCGTCAACGGATAAAAATTTTACAAGATATGCAGACCAAATAGCTAAAATTGCTTAAGTGGTTCCGAATATTTCAAAAACATTGAAAAATATTAAAGTTAAATGTCATTGACAACTGAAAATTCGCGTCGCGTTGCCAAATCGCGTCCAGTCTGTATGGACCTTTTAGGTCCAGACACACCGGACGCGATTCGACAACGCGACGCGATCTTTTAGTATTTAAAAGTTAATAAAACAGTGAATGAGAGCAAATTTTAAAAAATATGCAAACCAAATAACTCAAAATGTTATAGCGCTTCTAAATATTTGGAAAATTTAAACTAGGATCAAAGTTATCGGTCAGTGAAAATCGAAAAATCGCGTCGCGTTGTCCAATCGCGTCCGGTGTGTCCTATTTCTATTAACCGTGGTGTGTCTGGACCTTAAGATAGCGCGGCCACAAAAATCTTAAATATTTATACTCCAAATATTTCAGACATGTTCTTCGGTTCTCGCTCGTTAAAAATCAAGATAAAGCACTTGTTTGACACATATGAACAAATCCTAATACATGGAACGGCTCAACCAATCAAAAACCAATATTAAAAGCGAAGTCATGACCTTTTGTCACAAGACTTTCAATATTTCATTTCAGATCAAATTCTTGTCTGGACAAGACGCTCTACATAGGCCTACGTGGCAATAAAACGACTTACAAGGAAGTGATATACGTCTGTTGTTTAAAACGGTTCTTTCAGTTATAAATTTCAAGGAAATACTATTACAAATCCACGAAAACAAAGCCTGTGTATACGGATATCTTATATGGCTGTTTATGTGAGGATATTTGTGCTTGAAACTGGTTGAAGTAAGAATATAATATGCTTTATATTTTAAGAACGGCGAATTATCCGCGAATATAAAACATGGCATCAAGCTGTCTATTTGGGCAAAATTTGTAGAGCACAGCAATCAGTATGATTAAGCATCTAATATTTTCTGTATTTTCAATTTAGCAAAATATAGCGAGTAAATATGGCATCAAATTATCCACTCGGGTACGATGACGAAAGATTCGACCAGTTTCAAGCACAAATGTGCTTGAAACTGGTTGAAGTAAGAATATAATTTGCTTTATATTTTAAGAACGGCGAATATAAAACATGGCATCAAGCTGTCTATTTGGACAAGATTTGTAGAGCACAGCAAACAGTAGCATTAAGCATCTAATACTTGCTTTATTTTCAATTTAGCATAACAGCGAGTAAAGATGGCATCAAATTATCCACTCGGGTACGATGACGAAAGATTCGAATCGATAGTGAACCAAAATTTCCACTGTTTGATTTGCTATAACGTATTGAAAGACCCCGTGATGTGCCGCAGAAACGAGCATTATTTTTGCCGCGGCTGCATCACGGAACATATTCGTAGGAATTCCCATACATGCCCAACGTGTGCTGACGAGCTGAGTGTCGAAACATTGCAAGACGTTCCAAGAATTGTGAAGAATTACTTAAACGAACTAAGCATACGTTGCGATCATTACGACAGAGGATGTCGAGAACTCGTACAGCTGCAGAATTTAAAGCGACATGTCGCCGAATGCGGGTTTACTCCAGTCGTTTGTGGAAATCAAGGTTGTGGTGAGACAATCAGTAAAAGAGATCGTACATATCACGAGAGTGAACTGTGTCAATTTAGAAAGTTGAAGTGTCACAACTGTGGAGAAATCAGCACGATGATGGCTGGAATGAAAACGGAAATCGCAAACATCAACACGAATCAGGCGGATACGAGAACGAAATTGGCTAACACGAACACAAGCATAGCAAATATGGACACGAAAATGGCAGACATCAACACCAAAATGGCAAACACGGACACGAAACAGGAAAACATGAACACGAAAATGGGAAACTTGCAGGCGAACGTGGAAGCGAAGTTCGAAGCGATGAATAATGAAGTGAAAGGAATAAAAATGAGTTTAAATGAAGTAAAAGATGGTTTTGATCACTTGAAAGAAGCAGTACTTGAGAAGATAGAGAGCGACGAAAGAAAGCAGGAGGAAATTACAAGAGATGTAAGTGGCACAGCGAGTGGCGGGAGAGAAAATCAACATATATTTGTTGCTGGTGGTTGGGATAGAAACTCGGTAGAAATATTTAACTACCGTCAGAGATTGTGGTCTTTATTAAAGCCCATGCCAGAGAATCGTCACAGCGCATCTTCATTTATTTACAATAATCATGTGACTGTAGCGGGAGGTTGGTGTGATGATGCTGTAGATAACATGATCCGAATGAACATTCACCCAGTCCCTGATCTTTCAATTAACTGGGCTGATTTTGCTGCCAAACTCCCTGCAAATATGCATGCACACAGCAATGTGGTGTACAAGGATAGCTTGTTGGTTACTGGAAGTCTTAATGCCGATCAAGGTGTCTACTCTGACTGTATTCATGAAGTCCAACTTAAACCACCTTACACTGTTAAACTGGTATCCAAAATGCCTGAACCAAGACTTCGTCACAGCACAGTACTGTGTGATGATAGTATTTTGATCGTTGGGGGAAGGAAATCCGGGTACTCGAAAGACACCCTCAGCAGTGTGTTAAGCTATGACATCAAGAAGAATGAATGTCAACAGTTACCTGCGCTTCCCTATCCAGTGAGTGAAATGGCGACAGTCAAGTGGGCTGAGAATGTCGTGGTCATTGGTGGGGCTGACAAGGATGGTAAAGCATTAAACAATGTTATAATTTATAACATCAAGACTGGAAACAGTTATATGTTGCCTCCCATGTTACACAAGAGGAATGGATGTATGGCAGTTGTTATTGAGAATACAATTGTAGTACTGGGAGGCAAGGATGAGAGACTGAAATATTTGAAATCAGTTGAAGGTTTCAATTTCGAGCGATTTTCATGGCAAGAACTTCCTGACATGAAGGAAGCCAGATGGTTAGCTACAGCCGTTGTGATCTAGACATGATGGAAAATTATTGTATATATAATTTGTAGAATTTTTGAACTTTGACATATATCTCAAAAGTTTTGGAATTTAGCATAGATCAAAGAACTTCTTGACTGTTGTGATGTGGAATTTTTTTAAATATTATGTAGAGTAGAATGTTAGAATTAATGCATGGTAGAAATTTGAAATATACTTTGATATTTTTTCTGGTTTATAACATGTAGATTAAAGAACTATTTTATCCCATAACCCAACAGTCTTGTTGTTCACTCTCGTGAACTTTGAGCCGGTTCAAGTTTTTGATGAAAGATGATTAGAGTTTTTGTTCGTTTGACCAGAACATCCAGTCAACTCTCTTTAACTCCCATGCCACTCTTGTTCCCAGTGTTTGAAAACTCATGTAAGTAGAGTTTGGTTGGTTATCAACTCTCATGCACTCTCGTTGACTTAGACCTGGTTCACATTTTAATGAGAGTTTATAAGAGTTTTCACTATTGTGCAGTAATGATCCTGTCAACTGTCATCAACTCTCATGCAAACTCTCGCTTCTCAACTCTCATGCAAACTCTCATTTTCGTTTGGCGTAAAATGTAAAGTTGTCCAATCACAATGTTGGTTGCAAAACTCGGAAACAACTTTCTATCTCGGCATGGGGACCCTCTTGAACGCAAATGGTAATACGCGCAATGACTGCAAACAATATGAAATTTTCAGTATAGACTAATTTGAGCCTCGGAGATTTCAATTAGAACTGCCAAACATTAAGATGCAAAGTATTGAGAAAGCTAACTCGGATCGGAGAATGGTGTAATTTCCTGCCTGTGTGAACTGGCTATGTTGACGTCTTGCACACGCACGTCACAAGAAAAACAGCCCAGGCAACATATGGAATAAAAAAATTAACTTAATTTACAACAGTGACAAATTGCTGTTCAACAGCAATTTGTCAAGCACAACTTGCGACAAAATGAACTAATCAAAAACCACTAAATAATACAAATTAAAACACATATATTTGCAATACAATGCCATAATGCACCTATCAATGTTAACCCCGAGGGGGTCGGGCAAAGGTGGGGATTTGATCAATCAGGTGGTCCCATGGGTCGGGATTTGGACTGACACTTTTTTTCTAAGTGGCCCGAGGGTGGGGATTTTTGACAGATTAACACTGATCTCAGACGATATACTGAAGAAACCTGAGCCAATTTTAGAACAAACTCTGACTCGTTCCCAGTCGCCCGCGTTGTAGCTATCAACGCCTAACCCGCGAACGGGCATATTCTCCCGCACTAAAAGGTAACGAGGGACTGTGGAAGAGTCAGGAACAAACTGAAGACTGGGCACTAGTTTATCGCTCGCTGTCTCGCGCGTTGTTTTTACAAGAAATATGGAAATTTCTGGACAAGAAATAAACACTTAAAAGCCATTTTATAATTATATTAATATCGATTTATACTTGTATATTAAAAGTTCACGTTATGTACTATTTAAAACACGAGTAGGAGTGTGTTTTATCAGATATAAAACGCGAGGCGCACAACTTGAAATACGAGTACAAAAGAATACTAATTAGGGCGAACAATTATATCATCGAATACGCTGCCCCTGTTTTCCATTATGCGCTGCCGAGATATCTAAGCGATGATCTCGAACGTATTCAAAAACGAGCCCTTTCCATCATCTTAGGACCGGGAATATCGTACAGAGAAGGCTTGGAGATTACAAAGCTCTGCCCCTTATCTGATCGACGTCAAGCTCTCTGTCAGAAACTATTTAGGTCAATTATGAACGATCCAAACCACAAATTGTACAATCTTTTACCAACTTTTAACATTAATGCTAGATACTCATTAAGACACAAGCGACATTTTATTGAACCTCGCTATTCTACAAATAGATTTAGAAACTCTTTTATTCCTGCATCTGTGCACCAATTTAATATGTAGATTCGTAGATATGTAGATATGTAGATTTTATCATCCAATGTAATTCAGCTATTGCTGCAATATTGGTTTTTAATAAATTATTATTATTATTTATTATTATTTTATATTAGAATACTGACAATATAATTATATAAGAATACTGTGTTTTATTAGCCTGTGTTCCAGTCCACTACACCATGGTGTGGCGCAAGGTATATAAATTATTAATGAGTATTTTAAGTTATTTTGAAACGTTCTTTATGTTTGTTATACTTTTAAATTATACCGCCAAATGTATTTGTGTAATTTCCCTATCACCTGACATATAGAGTGCACCAGAAACCAAATACTTCAGTAACACAATTTCATCCCGGGGGTGGGGAATTTTGCACAGGAATTTTCTCCCGAGGGAGTGGCATTTGACATTTTTTTTTGGAAAAATGTCAAATCCCCACCCCTTGCCCGACCCCCCCTCCCTCGGGATTAACATTGATAGGTGCATAAACAAGCATACCAAATACTTTTGTTTGGGTCAATAGTGATTCCATGACATTCAGCTGATGATCACAAGTTGAATTATTCCATTAATTGCACCAACTTTCTTGCTTTTTATATGAACAATCTTATTCGTATCATACTCGAAAACGGCAGCAGCAAAAGAGCTGCAAGCCTTGTTAAAATTCACCATTTTTCACAAACTTTTTAATAATATTTTGTCATATAAATTTTTTGAGAAACTCAGAAACTTCGAACTTGGAATTGGGACGGCGGTCACGAAACAAGCGGTCCTCGACGAGCTGCAATACTTCATTTTGTGACAAAATTTTGTTTACCCAACCCGTTACACATCGGTGCCCCCACAGAACGCGCAGCTCCTTACCTCGTGTTCCATTCTAAACGTACATTATCAGATCAGTGGAACCTGGAGTGCGCCCGGAGACTATCATGCATAAATTACGCAAAATGAACTAATTACGCATTCAAGAAAACAAATTAACAACAAGTAAAATAAATCATAATTCTATTTGAATTTTCTGTGTTAACTTTAAAATAGATCTATAGAAACGAGCTCTTAGAGAACAAATTATATATGCAATTAAAATAACGATCAGCTTCTAAAAAAACTGAAATTAATTCTGTGATCTATGTCTCGTGCTTTTCATTGACCAAGTCTAATGTGCGGTGCAAATGATTATGATCATAAATACAAGCCAGCTGGTAAAATTCACATAATTCTTCTGCTCTACCACCAAATTCAAGATGGTACAATCTATGAGAATGAAAAGGGTTACTCGTTAGCATCGAACTTATCTGCAAAACAAAATTCTTCCCGTTTTTTGAGAAGCTTGAAAATCTGGACCATTATAAAATATGAAGTGCTGGCTGACTTAAAACTAGAAAGTGGCAATAAAGTTAAGTTTTTCAACGTGGAAGAGAGATTCACGATATTTAAAAATCTTATTACAGATTTTCTTTGCCGTTCTTGGTATAAAAGATATCACACTTCATTTCAAACAAAATAATTATGCATTCCGCCAAAACCACTGTAAAACTATTTTCTATCTTGAGTGATTCTCGGGTCATTTCAATGCTAAATTCTATTTTATACTTCAGTCTATTTTAGATTAAAGCACACGCTATGTATAAGATTTCTACTGATATACTTTTTAGTTTTAAAAAGTCTACTATGGTTGTGACGTGATTGAATCAGATTTAATTAAAATAATAAGACGGCGGATGGTAGAATGTTTTGGTTTGAACTGTCTCAGATAGTTTGGGAGAATTTCTAAAATGGATTTGTAAATAATCTTAATCGTAACTTCTCGGCCAGTTACCATTGTTCTGATATTGATTAGGCCATTGACCATTACACACGCAAAAGTCTCACATCTTGTGGAAAGTCAGCCAACAAGTTGTCAACAAGTTTGGAACAAGCTGTTAACAGCTTGTAACAACCTTGTTGATATTATCAGACAAGGTTGCAAGGTTATTCCAACAAGTCCAATACAGTCATGATATAACAATGTTGTTACAACCTAGTGTCATCAACCTTGTAACATTCTTGTTATATCATGACTGTATCAGAATCAAGCTTGTTACAAGTTGTTGACACTTGTTCCAACAACTGGGAACAAGCAGTGCGAACATGCACAACTTGTGAAAAAGCTCGGTCTGGGAACAAGCAGTGCGAACACACCCTGTTTACAAGTTGTTGGAACAGCATTGCTACAAGTCTGCTATAGGTTTGTTACAACTTGTGCGTTTTTGCGTGTGTACTCGACTTTTTGAGTGATTGTAACATAGTCGCAGCCAGCAAGTTAACCTAGTTGTATTGTATTGTAATTGTGATGAACTGTCTGTGCCAGTGTAGGTAGTGCCAATATAAATAACAAGCTTTCGTTGCATGGTAGGAATGCAACTACCTCAAAAATACAACGAAAAATGTTTGTGTGATGTTACTCCGAGTGTATATCCACACCGGGCAGGCTTGAAAAATATGCCTGGCCACGGCGGGTATTTTTCAGGTAGTTGGCATCCCTACCAACGAAAGCTTGTTATTGTAATTGTAACTCTATTATGAGCCCAATATCCTAGCTAATTCTCAACTCTAATTCAAGGACTTGCTATGAATAAGTTCATAATACTGAGAATGGTTAATTAAGCCAGAAAGACACCTCGCAGTGTGACTAACATTGTCTTTGAAATGAAGGCTCATTCTAGATGGCTTTATTTTCGTATAATATTAAATACTGCCATTTACGATACATACTGGCTATATGATCATGATTTGTGTAACATGGCAGTGTTATACCATGTTATTTAATATATTCAATACTATATTCAATACTATATATTCAGTATACTGTTATAATTATAAGAGGAAGACCTTAGGCAACCTTCCTCGCATGAATAAGCAAATATTTAGAGAGATTAAAGAACCACGGGAAACGCCTAGTACCACAAACCACGCAAACAGGACATAGTTTTGTGGTTGATAAACACTGCTAGAACTTGCTTTGACAAACATATTGCGTAGAGGAAATTAGTCATAGTTACAGATTTCTTCCTCTAAAATTTATTATAAAAGCGGAGCACAACCTGAAAGTCGAGGGCGGAGAGTGAAGTGAGAAGAGCCATTTAGGCTAAAATACTTCATAAGCCAACAAAGGCTGAAGTATATAATTAAAAGGCTAGATAATTAAGCCTCGTCAAGTAAACGGAAGAACATTGGAATATTGTGGAATAATTATTATTAAAGAAGACGGAATACAAAGTATAAAGAATAAAGATTCAAAGTTGTGCTCAGCTCAAACAAATAGAGAGATAAGTTGATATATTAAGATTACTATATTATTATAACATTATAGAGACGCTAGTTCATATTGTTGAAAGTAAATAAAATATATAAAAGGTATAAGGTTTCATGCTATTTGTGTTACGGTAGCGTTAATATAATTTGAACCCGAAGCCTAAAGGTTGAAAATATACCTAATTGGAAAATATATTTGACGCATAAATAACGCACCATAACAGCTGGGGGCTCAGGCGGGAACCAGTAAAACCAGTCTAAACAGTTGCATGCTCCAAAAGAAAATTAGCATTTCAAGTTAAAACAAATAAAAATTGGAAAGTCATTTCATTGATAAGATATTAAGCGGAATTTGAGGAATACATTCTGCATGCGTCATAGTGTTAAGTGTGAAACCAGATACCTTAATTGATCTTAATTAAATAAGGGACCGGTCATTATTTAAGGCGGGGGGTGGCACCGAAGAGAAATGTTTTTCGTAGCAAAAATTTTGCTGACCCAACCATTAAAAAGTTAAAAAAAATGATTACCCAACCTCAAATATCAATTAAAAAATAAATACCCACCCCTGGCCAAAAAATTTACAAAAGGTACCATTCAGTTGTCACATATGTCCTTTACCACTTCTGTGACATAAGTTTGATAACGGATTGTGAAATTTTCTGCAGTCTGAAGTTTCATGTTGTCTGCACATGTAGCTACTTTCTTTGGAGATCCCATCGGAAATTGATCAAGATAGTGACTCTGATTGATATATAATTTTCGTTGTTTCTTTACACATTTAGTAAATCTTAGTATAACACCGAGTTCATCAATTGCTGCTATTTTGCTAGCAAATCCATGTATAATAAACCCGGGTGTTTTGCAATCAAAAGTGATGCAACCTGGATAGTGGAATAAATTGACTACTGTAGGCACAATTTTTGGCCATTTAAAGACTGTTCTTATTTATGCATGACCTTTGACTATTAATTAATATTACCGCCTTACGGAGACTTTATATTAATTGTGCTACTCTAGGATCTAGAAGACCCTCGACTAGCAACATAATCAAGTTAGTTATGTTAATTCATTATATATAGCAATCTCGTTCCCCGAGCCTGCGATCCTCGGGAAGGAACGCTCATCTGGGATAATCCGTTTCAGGGAGGAATCTGATTGGCTGTTGAAATGGATGCGTAGTTCAATCTTAGCCAGGATTCTTGGCTTCCGGCAACGGATTATCCCAGAGCCTCGCGTTCCTTCCCGAGGATCGCAGGCTCTGGGAACGAGATTGTATATATAGGATCAATGTTAAAGGCAAGGTGGGCTATAAGCTATAATCATTTGTATGGCTTATAGAAGGCTAATTGCTGCGAATAAATTGAATAATGAATGTAGCACAATATTAAATAGTTGCATGATGACGTCAAACTAGTCAGACTACATTTGCAAGTTTTGCAACTCTCATCGCTTAAATTCCCCATACCTGAATACAAAATAAACAGTAAACAACGATTACCTTTTACATACCATATATAAAACGGAGTTTTCATCCTTTCTAGAAACTCACTTCCTGAACTTTTGAGCGCAAATGTAATGTATTAAAAATGTATATCATATTCACAGCGGTTAATACCATTAATATATCGCGGGCGCAATACAAAACAAAACACGAGAATTTTAAAATGTTTTGATTTGCAAATAAATAAATAATATTTGATGTCATAAAAATTTTTAAATTTAACTCAACACAAACTGGTAAGTTCATGACATGTATAATTTACTTATATGTTGTTATATTGCAATTCTGTACCCTACTCCTTTGAAAATTGTTTGCAATTGCATATGATGTGAACATGTGGTCATGTATTATAGTTGTGTCATTAATTTAATAATATACCCCAATGGCTTCGAAATAGACAATGGATGAAAAAAGTCATGAATATTGAGCTTATTTACCCTTTAAACACTTGATCGTCATGCGCATACAGTGTATTTTTTGTTTCCAGAATCCCCTCAAGCAGACTTCAACTTTTTTTGTTAAATTGTATATTTTGCTTCATACACTGCATTACCTCTAAACACCTAAAACAGCATTCCCTAAAATTTTAATTGTTTTCTTACATTGCCCTATATCGCTCAAACTCGCATTGCTTAATTAAATTGCAGATTTTGCTTAAATCACCTAAAATTGCTTAAACTCGCATTATCTCGTTATTGCCCCAGAGTAGGGCCTACTGTTGCCATTGCTTTTTAGTCTCCAATACTTCAGTGAGTCATGCTTTGGAAATGACAATATTTTTTTATTACCCAACCCTTGAGTTGTTTTGTTTTCATTTACCCAACCTTTTACTTACTCAAAATTTAGTTTACCCAACCTTTTTCTCTTCGGTGCCACCCCCCACCATAAATAATGACCGGTCCCTAAGCATGTCAGAATTTAACCCCGGCGAATTTATGGTGGAACCAACCATAGAAAATTTTAATAGCCTGCGTAAAGATAACCTAGTTACGCTAGCCAAGCATTTAGGGCTAGAAATAAGAAGTGCCTTCAGAAAACGCGAAGTATACGATTTAATCAAGGAACATTTTGTTAAAGAAAAAACATTCGAACAGTCTGTTTTCATGGAACAAAGTATAAATACAGTAGAAAATACACAGATTAGTGAAGATAGTGAAATAAGCGAGAAAGACAGACAGTGGCAGAGAGAGCATGAGAAAGTTTTGTGGGAAAGAGAACGAGAGAAACGCGAGTGGGAAAGAGAAAGAATAGAGAAAGAAAGAGAGTTTAGATTGAGGGAACAGGAATTAGAGTTAAGAAAATTGGAATTAGAGGTTCAGGCAAAAGGGCAAAATCTTAGAGTTAAGTCGGGTCAAAAATTTGACGTGACCAAGCATGTCCGAATGGTTCCACCCTTCCAGGAACGGGAAGTAGACCAATATTTCCTACATTTCGAAAAAATTGCCACAAATTGTGAGTGGCCAAAAGACAGCTGGACGATGCTGTTACAAAGTGTATTAGTTGGTAAAGCTCGTGAAATTTTTTCGCAACTTTCAGTAGAATTATCAGCTAATTATGATACGGTAAAGGAACTTATCCTTAATGGCTACGAGTTGGTCCCAGAGGCATACCGCCAAAAATTTCGAAACTTGGAAAAAACTGACCACAAAACATATGTCCAATTCGCCCAAGTAAAAGAACAGTTGTTTGACCGATGGTGCTTATCTGAGAAAATCAATAAAGAATACAAAAATTTGCGGGAACTGATTTTAATTGAGGAATTCAAACGTTGCGTTAACCCCGAAGTCCGCACATTTATAAATGAACAAAAACCTGACAGTTTCATTGCAGCGGCCCGTTTGGCAGACGATTTCGCGTTGACTCACAAGACCACATTTGAAAAGAAGTCACAACCAAATAATTTTGACAACAGACACACACCGGCCAGAAAATATCCGCACGATAACCGGGGAAAATATGACCCCAGAGCATCACGCGACACGACTAATCCAAGTTGGCGACGACCGCCACAAAATTTCCAGCCGAATAAAACGTCGGAATTTCCGAACAAACGAAATAATTTTCCTTTCAGTACCATCACTTGTGGCTATTGTAAGCGTAAAGGACATACGATGTCAGATTGCTACAGAAATCCACAAAATCAAACAAAACCAACCGGCATTGTTTCAACACCGGATAACAACACAACATCTGTTTCTGATAGTAATAATGCTAGTGATACTCAAGAGGATTTGATAGAGGTCAAAGCCAATGCTGACCCTATAATGAAAGTATTTGAACCATTTGTAAATGCGGCTAGTGTTTCACTTTTGAACAATCCAACACAACGTATTCCAGTTCAAGTATTACGCGATACTGGAGCGTCTCAATCTTTAATACTGACAAACACATTGCCATTTTCTGCGGAATCATATTCCGGAAACAATGTTTTGATAAAAGGAGTTCACTCCAGCGATTATAGTTCAGTTCCTTTGCACAACATTCGACTGCACTCAGATTTAGTCTCCGGAGATGTTTCGACAGGTATCATCGATACATTGCCTTTCGATGGAATACAATTGTTATTAGGTAACGATCTTGCGGGTGAAAAAGTGACAGTCAATCCAATAGTGACAAACAAACCATGCTCAACATCAATTTCCGACGTCATTGAACAAGAAATTCCAAATTTATATCCATCGTGTGCGGTCACAAGAGCAATGGTAAAACAACAAGAATTAGAGAATAATAAAAGAGGTGACCTTGATTCATCCTATGATTTGTCCGATACTTTTCTTACACAGTTATTTGATAGTGGCCCTAAAACAACACAGATTACGAAAAACGATGCGATAGACACAAAAAGCTTGTCAACATCTAATCTCATTCACGAGCGAAATAATGATCCCGAAATAGCTATTCTAATTCAACAAGCTTTCGATGAAAAAGAAATTTCAGACCAGGCAATGGGATACTTTATCAAAAACGATATTTTAATGCGGAAATGGCGACCACCTGATGTTAGTGTTGATGATGAATGGTCAGTTCGATACCAAATTGTTATCCCAAAACCTTACCGTGAAGAAGTCTTACGTTTAGCACACGAAACACCCCTTTCAGGACATCTGGGAATAAACAAAACCTATGAGAAAATCATACGACATTTTTATTGGCCTGGAGTTCGAAAAACCGTGGCAGAATTCTGCAAAACATGCCACACTTGTCAAGTAGTCGGCAAACCAAATCAAGTTATCCCAAAAGCACCGCTAAAACCAATTCCGGCTTTTGAAGAACCATTTAGCCGTATTATGATTGATTGCGTCGGACCATTACCTAAAACTAAGCGAGGTAATCAATATTTATTGACAATTATGTGTGTTTCGACAAGTTTTCCTGAAGCAATACCACTTCGAAATATCAAGGCTAAAACCATTGTAGAAGCACTTACAAAGTTTTTCACTTTAGTTGGTCTTCCAAAATCCATCCAGTCTGACCAAGGTTCGAATTTCACGTCAGGGTTGTTTCAACAAATTATGCACGAACTAGGTATTAAACAATACACCTCGTCAGCTTATCACCCGGAAAGTCAAGGCGCTCTGGAAAGGTTTCACCAAACATTGAAGCAAATGATTACGACATATTGTTTTGAAACTGAGAAAGATTGGGACGACGGCGTCCATTTCCTTTTGTTCGCGGCTCGTGAGTCAGTTCAAGAATCATTAGGGTTTAGTCCATTTGAGTTAGTTTTCGGTCACACGGTTCGGGGACCGCTCAAGCTTTTAAAGGAAAAGTTGCTTACCGACGACGGTGGTTCATTGAATATTTTACAGTATGTAACGGACTTTCGTACCAAATTAACTAAGGCTTGTGACCTAGCACGTAAGAACCTTAAAATAGCTCAAAATCGCATGAAGCACAGTTACGACAAAAACACCGTAACTCGGAATTTTCAGAACGGAGATAAGGTTCTTGCACTTCTTCCGGTTCCTGGAAACCCCTTGCAAGCTAGGTATTTTGGGCCCTATGTTATAGAAAAGAAAGAGAATGATTTAAACTATATAATCATAACTCCAAATAGACGTCGAAAGAAACAGCTTTGCCATGTAAATATGCTTAAAGCATATCACGAAAGAAAGAAAGTAGTACAGTCAGTAAATGTAGTGAGTTCAGATAGAGATAGGTATAGCAATGAGGATGAATCTGAACTCTCTAGTTTGTCTGAGACAACAAAATTGAGCAACTCCGACGTTTTACGAAATATGGATTCGAAGTTATCTCATCTTCAACCATCTCAACGTCAGGATGTTCTAGACCTTGTTAATGAATATGCACAATTATTCCCCGACATTCCTTCTCGAACTGACATGATTTCCCACGACGTTGATATTGGCGACGCTTCCCCTATAAAACAACA